ACATCTACAGATGGGGAAATTTCTTATAAAGTGCTATATATAGTGATATAATATTTATTCTTTGAACTAAAGCTAGACTAAATGACTTGTTAGGATGGATTTTTTTTTGTAGTGTAGACATACAGTACACAGCATTTCCAAATGAAGCCCTTCACATGCAGCGTGATCCTGTACCTGGTCCTGCTGCTGCTTGGCCAGCTCCATCTGCTGCCTCTGCTTCTCCATCTGCGAAGCGGCCAGCTTCTTCTGCTCCTCGTGGGCCGCCAGGAGCTGCTCCCTCAGGCTGCTCAACTGGCCAATCATGCCCATGAGCTGGCGCTCTTTCTCCGCCAGGCTGTCTGGGGTACCTAGGGTAAGAGAGGGGTTGGGTGGGGGGAAGAGAGGTCAAAGGTGAGATTGAAGCACTTTGAAGGAAAGTGTAAGACTTGGTTAAGGTTACGCTATAAAACTTCTTTCATCATTTAAAAAGAAGGGTTTTAGACTGCAGTATTTGCCAGCAATTACAAAATATTCTATAAAGAAATATTTATATTATTACACCTGTGTTTTACTATATTTTTAGCTGTTGACAGATACATTAACAGACACTTCTTCCAACAACATTAAAGTGTGTTATAAACCATTACATGTTTATATACTGCTTATGAATGCTAAAAGTGTTGCCCAAACTACAGTAGACAAACCAGGGTTGCATTAGAAAAGGTGTGAATGCAACAGGAGCAAAAAGCAGACAAGTTTAAAAATATACAAAATGTGAAAGTGAGATGTCATGCTGTGTTGTTCTTCTTTGTGAGGTTTTCACGGCTATCCGGAGGCCAGAAAGGATTGTGGGACCGAGGTTAGAGGTCAGAGGCATGTAGGAGAAGAACGGAGGAGGAAGAAACAACAAAGCAGTTGAAAGCTATCCATGGCTTGTTGGTCAGCCTAATATATGACCGGTTCGGGGCTTTGTAAGGTAGGAGGGGGCACATCAACGGAAGGTGCGTTCAGCAAAGCGCGTATGTGTGCTGTGGAGCTGTAAAACCAGATGTTGACTTATTTTCCTGGGCACAGAGGGTCAGCAGTGATTACTTGAGCCACATCCATCACTGCCTTTATTGCCTTATTGAAATAAAGAAAATAAATCTGGCTGAGGAAACATTTGTAAACAGGCAAAATGTGGTGGCAAAACAAATGTAAGAGCTGAGCCAGATTCATATGTTTAACAAACAAAATAAATCTTCAGCCAGGTTTGAAAATTTACATTTCTTGATAAAACTTGAAGTAAATAAAAAATGGATTTGATTGACGCTGAATTATAGCTAGATTTGGAGGTCTGCAGGTATCAAGCTGTACTTTGAGGATGTGTGTGTATGTATGTGGAAAAGAGAGGAGAGAAAGAAAGACGGAGAGTGTGTCTGGTCTGTGTTTACCCTGCAGTCAGCCAACCTCCTGCTCACATTTAGCATGGCCTGACCTCTGACCTCTCAGATCCTGACATACCAGCTCCATTACAACCACGCACACATACGTACAATTACACACACAAACACACTTCCACACGAGGCCTAAATCATTCAACAGGATGTAGTTAGAGAGAGGCACATCGAGGCACAATCAGTGTGTGGAGTGTGTGCGCCCATGTCTGGTCATATGTACCAATGTTTGCCTACATGCCTTTGTGTGTGTGTGTGTGTGTGTGTGTGTGTGCGCATGTGTGGAACAGCACAATCCCCCATTGTTCTTCGGCTGCTACCTTTAACAGGGCCACATTCCTGCGCCAGTCAAACCAGATGAGGAAGAGAGAAAGAGGGAGAAAGAGGGAGAAAGAGGGGGAAAGAAAGAGACACACAACAGGGGATGAAAGGGGGAGTCAGAAGAAGGGACGGAGGGAGTGAAGGCAAAGCCCGACCTGCCCTTTGACCGCTCGGGAAGGTGAGAGCCATCCATTTGTCCTCCCTGTTGGTAGCTGCCGCCTCAACCCCCCCACACCTCCCTCCACTTGCCCGCCTCCACTGCCCACCGACACCCCCCTACCCCTCCTCCTCCCTCACTTCCCCCCGCACTCCATCCATCCGCCAACAATGAACAATAAAGGCAACTGTCGGGAGCACTGGCCGCTGGAAAAATAAACACGCCGCTGTCCTAACTCACAGACCCACCTTTGTAGAGCCAGAAATGTGTGTGTGCATGCGTGTGTGTGTGTGTGTGTGTGCACGTAGTCAAAGCTGACCAAGACAAGAAAGAGCCTTGTGTTAAAAACGTTAGCCCGTTCAAATGGGGGGTGAAGGGTGGTGGGGAGGAAGGGGGCAAGGGAGAGAAAAAAGGATAAGGGGGGTTGCAAAGGTGAAACGATGGATCAAAGGAGTCTTTCTTGTAGGGGGTTCTTGTTGGAGTTAAACCCCCCCACCCTTTACACATGCACACATCCATGCACATGCACAAATGCAAACACAGTAAAACTGGGCACTTCTGTGCAAAACAGTGTGTACATTGAGGTGGAAGGACATTCCTTTAGTTAGGTGTGTGAAAATGAAGACAACCGGTCTATTCTTTTTCCACAAGCTGTTCGCAAC